TTTTGTTGTTGTTTTTGAGACAGGGTCTCATTCTGTCACCCAGGCTGGAGTGCAGTGGTATGTTCACAGCTCACTTCGATCTCCACCTCCTGGGCTCAAGTGATCCTCCTGCCTCAGCCTCCTGAGAAGCTGGGGCCACAGGTATCCACCACCACGCCTATTTTTTGATTTTTCTGTAGAGAGAGGTTCTATTTTGCCCAGGATGGTCACAAGTCACAATTCCTGGGCTCAAGCAATCCTTATGCCCTGGCCTCCCAAAGTGCTGGGATTACAACTGTGAGCCACCTCTGTGGGCCAGGAAGCTGGTTTTAACAACTCCTGCCTTTCTCCAGACCATCTTTCTCTAAGGATAGGTGAAAGGGGTCTGTCTTTCCCAGCTTTTGAGAATGTGCCCTATAAGGGCTTCTACTTCTCAACAAGAAGTTTGCAAAACTGGCCAGACTCCTGGTTCATTTTAAAAGCCTCATCTCAGAAGACAAGGCAAGAGACTCTCAAGCTCCTCTTCCTTTCATGTTTTCCTCATTCAGGATTAACTGGCATGCCCCCTGAAAATCAGAGACCTTACCTTGCCTTCTTGCTCACCAGTCTTCCCAGTTTCCCGGCAAGTCAGCAGCAGCAGTATTGAAGAACCACTCCAAAGCAGGAGGCTCTAGGTCCTGCTGCCTTAGCTTAGTAATGGCCGCAGAGACACTGGGTTATATTTGCTTGTGTTTGCATCTTAACAGCATTTTCCTAGTACTGGCCAATCAGAGCCAATCTAGCACTGGGCTTGACTTATTCAAACTAGAGGGAAAGCTTTATCTGTGCCTATTCAAAACAGCAAAACAAGAGCAGACTTCTAAAGGCTTCTTTTCTCTTTTAACTCCAGCTCCACGCCCTGATCTAATTGATTTTTTTTTAAAAGTGCACACAGCCCATCAATAATGCAGGGAAGGGGGTGGAAGGATATGAAATTTGCCATATTGTAGATATGGATGCATTATGGTGATGACAGGAGGCAGAGGTTGGAGCTGCCCTGTGAGTGCCTGTGATGTCTAGGCTGGCAAGAGCCTCCCTAAGAAGCTTCTGGCATTTCTCAAAGGGAGGGGAAGTCTGGGAGAGAGGCCAGGAGAATTCTATTAGGCCCCAGTTTTGCTCGTTGGGGTCTCTACTAGTCATACTGTAAACCATTCGATATTTGAGTGCCCACTGTGTGCCAGGAACCATGCTGCACTCTCAGCTTCAAGGTTCCCGGTTTGGGAGAGTGAGTCAGGAGCAGAGAAGAATCAAGACTCCATTCCCAGGGCTGGGTGTGGTGGCTCATGCCTGTAATCCCAGCACTTTGGGAGGCGGAGGCAGGCAGACCACAGGACTGAGGTCAGGAGTTCAAGACCAGCCTGGCCAAGATGGTGAAAACCCATCTCTACTAAAAATACAGAAGTTAGCCTGGCACAGTAGTTTCAGCTACTTGGGAGGCTGAGGCAGGAAAATTGCTTGAACCTGGGAGGCGGAGGTTGCAGTCAGCCAAGATCACACCACTGCACCCCAGCCTGGCCAACAAAGCAAGACTGTATCTCAACAACAACAACAAAAAAGACTTCATTCCCTCAGGGCTTCTGGTTCATGCCCAGAAGTCAATAGGACATCAAGCATATATGCTTGCTAAGCGCCCGACTGCAATGGGGTTGAACACAGCAGAATCTTGTGTAACCTTGAGGAGAAGCCCTGTGCAGCATCTGTGGCTGGCCTCCCAGCAGGTGCAACACCCCACTCGGCCTGGGGGTGCAGCTGCTTCATGACCAAAGGGGTTTCAAGAAGAAAGGTGGTGCTTGCTAAGGGCCTGATGAACACCGGCAAGGTCGGCAGCAGCTCACATTCCTGAATAGGTTTTTTAAACCCACTTTTATTAATTAATTGTAAGTAATACAAATATTGCAAAAATATAAACAGACACTTAATGGCGTCCTACATTTCAAGTTTTTGAATACAACAAATTTATCAAACCATGAATCTGTAAGCAAGGTAGTCAGAATCCCATAGCCCAGTCACAGTGGGAAGCAGATCCCCTACCCTCCAAACGGCATCTAGAAGGGGGAAAGCGGCACGAGATGGAACATAAGCAAAGAAGCTCACAAGGCCCAAAGAGAAAGGTCCGCTCCAGCAGCAGGCCCTACATTAAAAGAATGGGGCAGCTGGCCCGACCGCTGGCCACCTCCTCCCTGGCTGAATGTACATATTTACTGGCATTTAGAAAAAAGGAGAAAAAGAACTAAATCCATTTAGAAAAAAGGGACCCAGGGAGAACAGTGGTTAAGTAACCCACTGAGGAGCTGAAGGACTTACTTTCTCGTATAGTTAGCTTGGCTAGGACACTGGGGGCCGAACAGCCTTCTGAGAGGACTTTCTTTCTAAATGAGGCCTCAAGAACAGGCACAGGCAGCAGAATAGAATTAGCATCCATTTCCCAGGGAAAGACTGCCTTTAGACTTCCCATGCTTTTAGCGCGAAGCAGCGTCTGGGCCACTGTTACCAGAGATGAGTTTATACATTTACAAAATGCTAAAAATCTTTGGGAGGCAGGAGGGAGCGAAACAGAAGGTTCCAGGTTAACCGAAGGCAAATTCACTCAACCTCTCTAGTAAGGGACCCATGGGCCTACAGAGTGTCCCCTCTACAATGTGCAGAGTGGAAACCCTTACCTGACCCTTTTCCAAACTGGTCCTGTGTCCAAAGCTCCCCCTATGAGAGGGACACGAACATCAGGCTTTTGATTTAGAAGCCCAATCAGAGAGACACACTGTGTCCCTGAAGAGGCACCTTAAAAGAACTGAACCTGGCAGGTAGGCAGATTCCTGGCATGGCTTGAATTGGTGCTGACCAGGCATGGTGGCCTATTGCCTCCCAAAGACCAGTCTCAAGTGGGAGGGGCTGATAGTGGGAAGCCCTAAAACAGAGTCCGGGATGAAGTCACCTCCTCCCTTGCCTTGCCCTCCAAAATTAAGTCTGGCCCGATTTCCGCTGAGGAGCAAATTTTACAATCATGCCTCGCCCTGACACATGGTGAAACTGGAAACCCGACAGCAAATAATGACTAGGCTGGCTCTGGTCCACATGAATGGACCCTACCTAGGATTGGCTGAGTTGCTTCTCTGGGGAAAGTGGGAACAGCATTGCTGTGGAGGAGTTGCAGGTGGGCAGGCAGGGTTCTGATGGGAGTGAGGCCTAGAAAGCAGGAGCTTCATGCAGACACAGCAGGGACACTCCCACCAAGCCATCCTGGGCTTTGATCATGGGTCCCAACCACTCACTTGGACAAGCCTGTTAGGAAAGGGGGCAGCACATGCTCTTCCATCTGGAAAAACATGGAGATCCAAGAGAGGGCGGAAAGGGTCCTCGCAACTCAGTCAGCTTAGAGCCTCTTATTGCTTATTTAGTCAGAAAAGCCTGGCTGGGCCCAGATGGCAGGTTTAGCCAAGGGCTAACCCTTAGGGTGGGGCTTGGAAGAGAGGCCACTCCTGCAGTACTAGGATAGCAGCCTAGGCCAGGCCTTGGGTCCGAAGCCACAGCGGGCTTTAAGGGTCTGAGATCCTGCTTTCTTTCAGGAGATGGTACTCCTGGTTAGCAAGTGTGGCCCTTTTCCCTTTAGGTACAGCAGGACCCCACAGGCACGATGCTGGGGGAAATGACCACATGAATTTTGGGGGACTCTGTTCCACTTTATCATACCAAAGAGAAAGACAAGGCCTTAAAACCTTGGGACAAGGAGGGAAGGTGGCACCACTACGCTAGAGAAAGATGCCAACCAGCCACTGCTGACAGCACCAAGCTGCTGCTCCACCACATGCTTTTCTTGAAACTCGTTTGTTCCTGAGGCTGGACCTAGGGTGTGGAAATGGAAGGGATGGTGGGGAGGAGTCCTGAGTGGGTGGTGTCCCTGCACCAGAAGCAGTTCACAAATGCTTTGTGATACCTGCCTCCAAGGAACACAGCGACTGGAGTAGGATCTCCCTCCCACCCCAGGAGGAGGGAGAGAGGGAGAGAACCCCACCCACCCCAGGGAGGCCACGATTAAGGCAGTGATGCTGTGGTGGGGCTCCTTTTTGGGAGGCCCTTGTGCTCCCAATTACAGCAGCACTTCCTCTTGTTTTCCACCCTGGGAAAACTTCAACTTCGTGATTTTTTTTTTTTTTTTTTTTTTTGAGATGGAGTTTCGCTCTTGTTGCCCAGGCTGGAGTGCAACGGCCCGATCTCGGCTCACCGCAACCTCCGCCTCCTGGGTTCAGGCAGTTCTCCTGCCTCAGCCTCCTGAGTAGCTGAGATTACAGGCACACGCCACCATGCCCAGCTAATTTTTAGTATTTTTAGTAGAGACGGGGTTTCACCATGTTGACCAGGATGGTCTCGATCTCTTGACCTCGTGATCCACCCGCCTCGGCCTCCCAAAGTGCTGGGATTACAGGTTTGAGCCACCGCGCCCGGCCCTCGTGATGATTTTAAAGCATTCAATATTAAGAATCTTTGAGCGCAGGAGACACCCAGAGTGCAGGTCTATGAGGGGCTCACTCCCTCCTGTTACCAGAGGCAGGAAGCATGCGCATTAAGTTGGTAAATGGCAAGAACACTCATTCCTCCTCAGCCCAGGAAGAGCAAGAGTTCTGGCCCTTGAAAGGAAAAGCAACAGCCAGGAAGGATGAAGGCCGGAACGGACAGAGCTCGGTACAGGACAGGCCCTGGGGGAAGACACAACAGGAAAGAGCCCTGCCCAAGAAATGGGAGGGGCTGGGGCAGCTTAGTTCTTCCCAGCCTTTGGAACGCAAGTCCTTGCACCAGCACCAGCAGAGAATCCCTGAAGAGCAGACTTACGGAAATGATCCCGAGCTCAGCTGATCCACAAGCCCTGGGTACACACATGTCCACGCTTTTGAGGATTTGTCTTTTCCCTGCACCCCCAGCACCACCGACATTCATCACAGGCCCAGGACTGTAGCTTTGTCAGAAACAAAACAGGCCCAACACTCTGTGTTTAGAAGAGAATTTTAAAATAGAGTCAAAAGAACGGAAATCAGTTATCTGTCCTCTTCCCAGGCAGGGAGAAAACCTCCTTCCCCACAGGTTTGAGACTATGGCTAGGTGGTGAGGAAGGCAGGCTCAGCACCCCAGCCTTGGGGAGACACAGAAAGGGCCTGTCCCAGGCACTCAGCTGGATGCAAGCATAGCCTTTGGGCCACAAGCCCTGATGGCCACTGAGATGCTGGTCTGGAATCAAGTCCTCATCTTCCCAGAAATGTCATCTTTTGTCTGCAGCAGCTGGCTGGAGGATTTCAGAAAGGTGTGTGCCTGGAGAACCCAAAGGCATACCTTCCTTTCTCCTTGGCATAGGCCTTACAACACTGAGGAAAGGCCGTGGTTTGGCAATGGAGCCTTCAATAGTCTTCATCCTTTTAGAGCTCAGTGGCTCCTAGGATGACAGGAGAGGAGGCAAACTCACTTGGGAAGTCTTGATCTTTCAGCTTCTCCCCCAGTGAAACACTACATGCTGGAGCCACAGTTCATGGCAACACACACACACACACACACACACACACAATTCTCTCAGTCACACACACATGTTGACAACTTGGCGGCAGGTAGCTCTGGGTATCGTTGGTCTGGCACTTGCCCACTTGGCGTCTAGGTTGTCTTAAAGCTCTTTCCAATCACTTCTCACTGTTTCTGGGCCGTGTGGTGAGGTGCTCCAGCTTCCACTCTGTCACGCTGATCATAAAGGCACAGTGTGGGAAACTCCCCTACTGGGATGGCCATCGCCTGGAAGCAGGGAAGGCTAAGGGGCCCGCAGCTGCCCAAGGCTGGTGTAGACGTCCTCTGCTCCGCTCAGCTCCTCAAAGATTGGGATCAGGTTCAGCAACTCGGTGTCTGCCATGTCATCAAACCAGGACTGCACGGGCACCTGGGGCAGGGAAGATGTGGTGTCAGTCTTGAAAGTGCTGCTTCCCCGCTCCCTCCCCCAGAGCCCTAGAGGGTGACTGGGTCTTCCTGGAGGGGTGTGCTGCTTTGGTGGAGCCCACAGTTCCACAGCCTGCTTCCTCTCCCAGTCCCTGCCATGGACACGTGTCAAGAACACTCACTGCATTCTCAGGGTGGAAGATGTAAGAAGCAGGCGAGTTGTCCAGGATGAGAGTCTTCCTCAGGTCCCTCCCCAGGCGGCTGAGGTCCTTGACGTAGCAGCCCTGGTGAAACACGCAGGACTCACGGAATAGGCGGGCCCGGAACACCCCACAGCGGTCCAGCAGGTCCGTCACAGGGTCAGCATACTAGGAGGAGAGAAGATGCCTAAGTTTGGATGCAGTCCTGGTCCTCCTGTGGCACCCTGGGTACCAAAAGGGAGCTGCTGGACCACCTCTGTGGCCACCACACCCATGCGTCTGGTTCTTCCCTCCCACCCCTAGGTACCTTGGCTAGGCTGGCAGTGAAGAGAACACATTCAAAGAGTTCCCCCATGCGTCTCAGGAACTCATCCACATAAGGCCTCTTGAGCACATACACCTGAGGAAGAGCAGAGCATCCTGTTGGAGATGACCCTGTGATGAAGCTTGGAAGTACTGGGTACCTTCACCAGTTACACAGACAGCAGTAAGGAGCTCTCAACCCCTGCAGCCCAGCCTCCTGGACTACCTGGCTAGAAGCCTGTGGCCCCACAAACCCGGGGAACTGGCTGCACCCCCTTACCAGGCCACCAATGAATCAGTGGTCCCAACCTTAACCTGGCTCAGGAAGAAGCACATACACCATGTCCCGGGAGCCATCTGTGTTTCCGGCGGCGGACCATCAGCTGCCTCCAGAAACAAGTAATCAAGAATAGGCCTCACAGATGGAAACAGCCTATCCTGGATTACTTGAATCCAGCCACAGCCTCTATGGAAATTTTCTCTCCTTGGCTCCGGCAGGACAGTCTGTCCAGGTCACCATCAGGCTATGAACTGCACCAGGAAGAAGTGACTTTTTCCCCCCAATGACCACAGACTAGACACTCTGCACCCCTGATTTTGTGCTTGCTCCTGCCAGCCACTCCTAACACCTGTGTCCACCTTTATGATCTTGCACATTTTGGCAAGTCCTTTGGCTACCTGACCCATCGGTCTGCATACTATTGCTTCTCTGACTCCAGCCTACACAAGGGCTACTGGAACCATTTCCCGAAAGGTCCTTTTACTTATTTTTTAGAGATGGGGTCTTGCTGTGTGAGGCCAGTCTGGTTGTGAACTCATGGGCTCAAGTGTTCCTCCTGCCTGGGCCTCTCAGAGTGGTGGGATGACAGGTGTAAGCCACAGCACCTGACTCCCAAGGCTCCTTTACCCACATTACTCCTGAGCTCAGAGAGAGTCAGCCTGCCACGACTCTCCTAGAGTGGACCTTAATTGGCCACCAACTCACCAGACCCCTCGGAGCTCTGCTCCAGGCAGCCACAACTGCGCTTCTGTTAGCCTGCCATTCCCTCCACCTCCAACAGGCCCCTTCCTCATCCCAGCTATTCATCACGTCCGGCATCCTTTCACCATTCTTTGCTCAAAACCTACCTTGGGCAGGTAGTGCCCCCTCCTTTTAATCTCATCCTTTTAAAAATTATACATACCCTTCCTTGTTAGCCAGGAGTTCACAGTGTGTATATTCCTGTTTGAAAATATGCCTTCATCTCTTCCCCAAGGGTTTAGCACATCCCTATGCCCTCAGCTAGACTGTAAAGGGCTGCTGGGCCAACTCTCGTGCTGGCAGCGGGGCCTGGCGCTGGGCCTGGCAGGCCTTCTGAGCATGCAAGCGGAGTAAATGGTCTTTCACTAGCAACGTCACATGATCCGGGACTGCATGGGCTACAGGCTGGGGCCTGGTCTCATTTAGATGTGAGTGCTCTTTAAGACACATACCGAGCACTTCCTCAGGCAGAATCCAATGGAGTAGGACCCCAGGGAAGACAGAGAAGTCTTCACAGAGGAGGAGATGTCTGGGCTGGGGAGGAAGAAAGTCACTAGCTATTCACAGTGGGGGATCATGGGCAAGAGGGCATTCCAGGCAGAGGAAACGGTTACTACTGGTTTCTTTGCCCGTAACAGGCAAAGAGATATCCACTCTTAAGGAATACAGAAATGTAACAAATCATTTAACAGCGCTGGCCATGTGAGGGGACGGTGGTTAACAAATGATAGCTATTATTATCATTAAGTAAGATGTAAATTGTTCTTTTACACAGCTTGGTTGCAAAGAGAAAACAAGGGTGACAGCTGGTGGGGGATATAGGGCTGAATTTCCCTAAGATGAGAAAGCCTTGAGTGTGAAAGATACCAATAAAGCAGGGAGGCTGAAGTTACAGAAAAGGGATCAACTGACGGAACACAAGCCCTGAGATGGGTGAAGGACCCCAGGACAGGTGGAGCAGAAGGCAGACCCCCCACCCTCTGGACCAGGTGTGGTCTGGCCAGCAGCTCACCTGGTGAGTGGTCCCTTCAATCTCTATAGGCACTATGAAGTCAGCATTGTTGATTGGCTGGAAGGCAGAAAAGTTAATGCTGTCAGCATGGCAAAGAAACATGAAGCCCCCACCATACCTCTAGGTGGGTGGGAAAAATAGGTATGAGAGACTCTGGCCACCCAACAAAGGGGTTCTCACCCTAGTTCAAGATGTGATATCCCATTCTGGTTTTCCCTACTCCTTGGCACCCCAACTCTGACAAATTCTATCTAAATGGAGAGTGTCAGGTCCTGAGTTTCCTCATCAGACAAGCAGGGGCAAGGGTCAAAGGTGATTCAACTATTATCTGAGGCCTGCCCTGTACAGAGCCCTGGTGGCTCTCTGTGCTACGTGGCTCAGGGGCAGATGTGGCCTGTCGGGTGTGATTGAGGATCGCAGCCTTGGAGGAACACACAGGGTTCCAACTCAACATTCTCCAGTGGGGCCTTTAGATACCTGTGACACCAGGGTGGCCAAAATGCCAGAGGCCTGGCCTTCTCCCTTCTATCCTCACCTTTAGGCTGCCTTACACATCTGTTATCAGATTCACAGAAGGGCCCAAGATAAAGGTAGGAAGCTGACGCTGAGTTACCTTAAAGGAGCTGTGCACGAGGGTTTCGTCCAGGTCAATGACCACACAGATCCTTCCTTGATCTTCCTCTGTCACCTCTGGGAGCAGGCAGGTCCCCGGGATCTAAAACCAAGCCAGGTTGCTAAGATCTGCCCACCAAGAAAGCCCAATTGTACCCCTTGGCATAGCTATGGGAAGAGCTGGGCTGTTTGTGGAGACAGAATCACCAACCCAGGACAGGCACCACTTAAAGGACAAGAAGAGAGGAGGTGGTTGTTTCCTTGGTTTCAGCCTCCCAATGGGACTATTAAGTGATCTGGACATTGGAGGTGGTGGCCAGGGCTGGTGTGGGATGGACAGCAGTTGTGGGAGTAGAGCATGGAGCACCAGCTGTCCCCTAAAATCTAACGCCTTGCACACGGTAGGCCCTTAACTAATATGGGGAATAAATAGCTTCCCAGGGCAGGGAGGTAGCTGATCAGGCACCAAGGAGTGTGGGCAGCATCCTGCCCGTGGAGCTGGCAGGGATCACAGGCTCCTGGCTTCTGAGTACTTACCAGGCCAGAGTCACGTACCTGGTAGAACTGGTACTGGAGACACTGGAGCAGATCTGACTGTGGAAGAATAGGAGGTGGTCAGTGCCATCTCATCGCCTTTCCCACCCCATCCAAACCCACTGCTTCTGTCTCAGGCCTGGAGGGCAACTTTCTCCCCTAGATCCAGTCACCTGGAAGCTCCTATCGTGTCAAAGCTGACTTTTCTTAGGAGTGGGACAGGAAAAGGGAAAGGCTAGAGCTTCCTTCCCACACTAGGCCTGATGAAGGCTGGAGAAGACAAGTGCCCCTGTTCTCAGTAGCCACTGTCTCTCAATTGGACAAAGTGAGGAACAGGGAACTCAAGTAACTGATTCAGGGACACAGAGTCAGAGGCAGAACCAAAATCTGAATTCCTCATGGTGGCAAACTCTTGCCAAGTCCTTAAATTCAAGCTTCTCTGAGAAGATGCTGTTTTCTATGCCCTCCTTGGGGATTACATGGGAGAACAAGCCCTACAAAACATCAAGTAAGCCACACTGTGGGTACCCAAAGTGTGAGGGGAGGAGGAGTACAGAGATCGGCAAGCCCCCCACCCCAATTTTTGCTAATAATAGAAATGTTAGGCCGGGCGCGGTGGCTCAAGCCTGTAATCCCAGCACTTTGGGAGGCTGAGGCGGGTGGATCACGAGGTCGAGAGATCGAGACCATCCTGGTCAACATGGTGAAACCCTGTCTCTACTAAAAATACAAAAAATTAGCTGGGCATGGTGGCACGTGCCTGTAATCCCAGCTACTCAGGAGGCTGACTGCCTGAACCCAGGAGGCGGAGGTTGCGGTGAGCCGAGATCGCGCCATTGCACTCCAGCCTAGGTAACAAGAGCGAAACTCCGTCTCAAAAAAAAAAAAAAAAAAAAAAAAGAAATGTTACGGTTTTAAGTGTTCCTTTTTAAAAAAAAAAAAAAAAGACGAAGTCTTGCTCTGTCACCCAGGCTGGAGTGCAGTGGTGCGATCTCGGCTCACTGCAACCTCCACCTCCTGGGTTCAAGTGATTCTCCTGCCTCAGCCTCCTGAGGAGCTGAGACTACAGGCGCATGCCACCGTGCCTGGCTAATTTTTTTTTTGTATTTTTGGTAGAGACGAGGTTTCACTGTGTTAGCCAGGATGGTCTCAATCTCCTGACCTTGTGATCTACCTGCCTCAGCTTCCCAAAGTACTGGGATTACAGGCGTGAGCCACCACACTCAGCCTGGTTTTAAGTGTTCTTAATGAAAACTCTCAAGAAAAATTAAAATCCTGGCACTTAGATAAACAATGTTACATTTCAGTGTACTGCCTTCAAATCTGTCAGCAGACTTTTTCCATAATGCTATACAATTATACACTCTGACTTTTACTTAATGTTGCAAGTCAATACTTCTCCATGCTATTGAGAAGTCTGTAAAAACTAATCACTCAGTAATACTGTCATTTTGTTTTTTGTTTTGTTTTGTTTGTTTGTTTGTTTGAGATGGAGTTTCACTCTTGTTTGTTTGTTTGTTTGTTTGAGATGGAGTTTCACTCTTGTTTGTTTGTTTGTTTGTTTGAGATGGAGTTTCACTCTTGTTACCCAGGCTGGAGTGCAATGGCGCAATCTCGGCTCACCGCAACCTCCGCCTTCTGGGTTCAGGCAATTCTCCTGCCTCAGCCTCCTGAGTAGCTGGGATTACAGGCATGCGCCACCATGCCCAGCTAATTTTTTGTATTTTTAGTAGAGACGGGGTTTCACCATGTTGACCAGGATGGTCTCGATCTCTCGACCTTGTGATCCACCCGCCTCGGCCTCCCAAAGTGCTGGGATTACAGGCGTGAACCACCGCGCCTGGCTACTGTCATGTCGTATTTTATTTAACCGTTTACCCCATTGCAAAATGCAGTGATTTTTCATTGATGTATGTCTTTAGCCTGGTTTTGAGAAAAAGGAAGGACAACCAGACCTCAATGTTTCAGAGAAGTACCACTGGCTTTAGGGGCAGAATAATTTTTGTTGGTTAGGGCTGGCCCCACCTGTGAAATGCGGGACATACAAAAATACCAACACGTTTCCAAATGCCTTGCACAGATACAGGTGAGAACTGCTGACAGGAGTTCTAAGAGCATGGTAGAGTTTCACTCCCCTAGTTCCCTGTAAGTCAGGTAGCTTGGAAGGTAGCCTTGCATAGTAGAGAACAATAAGCACAGGCTTCACCGAGATCCAAGTTCAAATCCTGACACTACCATTAGCCATGAACTCTTCAGGTGCTACATAAGCCCATTATCTGCAAAGTGGGAATTCTGTGATCTCCTTACAGGGCTGCTGGCTGATCACATGAGACAATATATGCAAAGCACCTTGCATAGTTCCTGGAACCTGGAAGGATCAGAATCACAGGGGCCCTCAGAAACCACAGGGACATCTGGATGGCCCACACCGCAAAAGGGGAAGCAACAGAAGGGAAATGAACTACTTATGGAAGGATGGAGGAACGGCCTCCTCTCAGCCAGAAATCTTTGCAACCTCAGGCAAGGCTTCCTTGTCTGGTTGCCATCGTCAGCAGGGATCTCCCACTAACAGTCCTTTCCTTGCTGGGATCTCACCACCCCAACCCAGCTACCTTAGCAATGGTGTTCGCTTCCTCCTTATACGCAGCGAGCTCAGTGGAGCAACTTGACTGGCCAACATGCTGGGCGCGAAAACAGCAGAAAAGGGCCTTGAAGATGTTACGTCCACGAGGCTTCTTAGGAGAGGACTTGGAGACCAGGCCTGGAGTGGAGAGAAGGTCAGGGGCTTTAGCTCTAGAAACATCAGTTTCTGTCCACAGCTTCTATCATGCCCATATATCTCTTCTAGTCCGTAAGCTCCAGTAGGGCATACAGTGTACGCCTCGTGAACAACCATATACAGTTAACAGTGAAACATGCATGTTTACTCCAGCCTTTTCTCTTTAAAGCAGGAATGTCAGGAATCCCCGCTCTCTGGCTTGGGAGACCTGAGTTACAGAGGATTTGTCTTTCATTCCATGGGGGCAGATGGGGCCAGGCATAGAATCCAGGCGTTCTACTCTGGCTGCAGCACACCCAAAATTAATGCACAGACAAAAATCCTCCCTAACACTAATTCCCAGGAAGACCATCGGTTCTGCCCTTCAAGTTAGTGGAGATGCGGTTCTGTTCAGCATCAGCTTCCCTAGATACTGGGTCAGTGGAGGCAGAACTGAGCCTATTTTGCCTAAAAACTTCAGGCTAGAAACAAGAGACTAGAACTCCAGAGCAGCCCCAGCCCCAAGGAAAAGCTACACTTTTTGTGCACAGCCTTGTCTTCCTGCTATACTCCAGCAGCTCTCTTTAAGCCTCCTCCCCACACAGATACCATGGATTAGCCCCTTGGAACACATATACACAGCCTTGGCTCCTAGGCTGACAGCCTTGCTTTTGAACTGCAGCTGCTTAGTCCTGCCTTGATCATTTGGGCAGTGGAAACAAAGTCATTTTAATAGACTTAGCAAGACAGCCCCAGAAGGGCCAAGCAGATACCAAAAAAGCTACGGGCATTACAGGATCAACTAGAAATCGACTTCAGGTATCTTTTATAAGTTCCTTTTGCTATAGATGAACTTTTCTGATGACTGCTGAGCACCAGTGGGAAGATACGATGGGCACTGTGGCCAGGAGGTGGCGCTGCACAACCACTCACAGAATGGTCCTAGGTCACAGGTCTCTTCTCCAGAGGGTCTGGAGTATTCCAGAGCCTGAGCAGGACGTGGGCCTGAAGATTAAACCCAAGCCATCCCAGTTTAAAGCACAGGGCAAACTACTGTGCAGGAAAATGGATGCCAGAAATGCCTCTGTGGGGGAAAGAAACGAAAGCAGAATGTACCATGAAGAACAAACCGCCCTGTGTTGTTCCTTGAGAAAGGGATGAGGGGAAGAGGAAGACAAGGTTTGGGCTGCCCAGGAGCGACTCACCCAGAACGTGCACCAAGGTGGCCCTTACAGAAGTGGGTGATGGGAGAGCCATTTAAAATCCAGCTACTGGGCTGCCTGTACCCCCTGGAGAGGAACAGGGAAAGATCAAACTATTCCCCGGGACCAAGTGTGAGAAAATGGCCTTTATACAGCAGTTGGACAAGTGCAGTCAGCATCACCCCTAGGACAACAGACTCAGCTCTGCCTCAACAGAAAGGCAGAGGACTTCCTGCTGGTGCTGGCTCAGCCTCCCCTACTGGCCGGTCCAGAGCCTGTATGTGCTCTCCCTCTTTCCTCCCTGGGTTAGGCCAGATTCCTTAACATTGGTATGGCCATTGGAAACCTTTTAGAAAATGACTGGGCCTTTCCAGCAATTAGCCTAAAAACCTGGACATCACTTTCAAGCTCCTGGCTCTGAAAGAGGAACCAAGATTTCTAGGGCAGGGATTTTGTCAAGAAGTTGTGCTGGGGACATCCCCCAGAGCCCTTTATCGAGGAGAAAAAATTCAGAGCAGAGCCCAGCGCTCAAAGAGACCAGGATAAGCTGGGCACGGTGGCTTATACAGGAGGATTCCTCAAGTTCAGAAGTCAAGACCAGCCTGGGCAACATAGCAAGACCGCATCCCAAATTTAAAAAGAAAAGACAGGCCAGGCGTGGTGGTTCATACCTGTAATCTCCACTTTGGGAGGCCCAGGCAGGTGGACCACCTGAGGTCAGGGCTTTGAGACCAGCCTGACCAACATGGCAAAAACCCATCTCTACTAAAAATACAAAAATTAGCCGTGCATGGTGGTGCACACCTGTAGTTCCAGCTACTTGGGAGGCTGAAGCAGAAGAATCCTTGAACCTAGGAGGCAGAAGTTGCAGTAAGCCAAGATCAGTCCACTGCTCTCCAGCCTGGGCAACAGGGCAAGACTCTGGCTCAGACCAAAAAAAAAAAAAAAAAAAAAAGACAGCAAGACAGAGGTTCCTTGGACTTTCTCTCCCTATTTCTATGCTGAAATTGGAGGGAAAGGACAGCTTCCCCACCTGCCTGTATGGCTCACGTTAAATTCTAAGCCCAGGGACTCAGGGCAGATGCTGACACAAAGCTCCAAGACCAAAGCTGAACCATTGCTTTTCCCTTTGGTTTATGGTTTCTTCATACAGAACCACAATCAGAGGCTTAACCCGGGCACAGAGCCTTTTACAAAAGGCCACACACCCTGGGCTTTTCCTGAAGAGAGGCCATCAGGAATGCACTCAGCATCTTAGTGACAGGCACTGTGAAGGTTGAGTAATCCTGAGGTAGGGGCAGAGGGGCAGCTGGCTGGGGGCAAGATAAGGCCTGGCTTGTGCCCACTGCAGGGAGCATAACAGGCAGAAGCACCCCAGTCCTGGACAAGGAGGGAGCTTAGACTCTGCAGGGGATGAGGGCCTTCTCAAAAACACACTGTGGCTGGCAGCCGCGGGCCTCAGAGACCACAAATGCCTTGACCTTGGGGGCAGGAGCTTGAAGCAGAGTACTCCAGACCTAAGTCGGCAAGGACAATACCTCAGGCATCCCTCATTCCCCACTCCCGTGATGGGGCCCTGCTTCCCCACATCCTTTTCCAAGCTGGCCGTCCTCCTTACCTTTCCAAATACTATGCCAGAGAATTCATCAGAATGCATCAGCCTCCCCGAGCATGGCTGCCTCCCTGCAAGGCCTGCAATGGCCCCAGCCCAGTGCACTCATCAGCCTCTGTGACCCTCTTCGTATCAGGTGCTCAGTAACTTTGTCTGCCTGAGTGAATGACTCCAGGGGCCTCCAGGGCCTGTCGCATCTACTGAGCTAGGACCTGGGGAAGCCTCCACTAGTTTGTAATAGCCCAGAAGAGTGAGATAGAGAAGCCTCCTTTATGTGAGAGGAAGGTGAGGGCCGAGGGAGCTGGACCCGTGAGGCAAGTCACTGAGTCTTTCTAGGCCACCGCCATGTTTATGGTACATCAAGGATGTGCCTGCGTTAGACACTTGACATCATTACCTCATTAAACCTTGCTATTAACACTTTGGGACTAGTTCCCCATTTTACAGAAGGGAAACTAAAGCACTGAGAGGTTAAGCAACCTGGGTCACGGTCTTGCAGGTAGTATGACAGCAGAACCAGGATTCAAACCCAGATCTGCCGGAACCCAGAGTCCAGGCTCTTAACCATTACCCTGTATAAGGTCTCTGACAGTTCAGGGACATCATACACATTTACTCATGCAACAAATGAGAAGTGTAGGGGACTCTCGAGGTACCTTATTGAAAACATTTTTCTGAGACAAGAGTCTTATATCGTGCAGGCTGAAGTGAAGTGGTGTGATCATGGCTCACTGCAGCCTCAATGTCCCAGGCTCAAGCAGTCCTACCTCAGCCTCCCAAGTAGCTAGGACTACAGTCTTCTTGGGAAATCTTGCTCCCCTCCTCTCTAGGATGAGCTGGTAAAAGACCAGTTTGGGGGTCTAGCCCCTGCCCCTTACCCCATGTTTTCTTGGGCACACCATCTAAGTCACAAGGGGTGAAACAGCGCAAGGCCCTGGGATTCCACTCCAGGGAATCCACCCCACCCCTGCCTGCACCTGCTCTGACTGACAGATGCCTCTGGGAGATCAAGATGACAACAGGGGAGAGGGGGAGGGAGGGGATGGAGCCAGGAGCTTTGGTCCAAGACCTGCATTGTTCCTTGGATTTAAGGGTGAGGGAACCACAGAGTTCAGAGCAGGATCTGAAACTTGTGTCAAAGAGCCTTTCACATGGCTCCTTTCAGCCAGCACTCAGCATTGTGTCCCTGACAGCCAGGTGCAGGCCACCCCCTACCCCTCTGTGTGCGACGGGGAGGGCACAATATGCCTTTCCAGGAGACGAACACCGGGGACAAGAGGATTTAAGGCCCAGAGAGATTTACTTCTTTTTAAAAAAGAAAAAAAAAGGTCAGGTGTGGTGGCTCATGCCTGTAATCCCATCACTTTGGGAGGCTGAGGTGGGTGGATCACCTGAGGTCCAGAGTTCGAGACCAGCTGACCAACATGGAGAAACCCCATCTCTACTAAAAAATACAAAATTAGCCAGGCACGGTGGTGCATGCCTGCAATCCCAGCTACTCGGGAAGCTGAAGCAGGAGAAGTGCTTGAACCCAGGAGGCGGAAGTTGTGGTGAGCTGAAGACTGAGCCACTGCACTATAGTCTGGGCAGCAAGAACGAAACTCTGTCTCAAAAAAAAAAAAAAAAAAAAATTGGGGTCTCACTATGTTGCCCAGGCTGATCTCAAACTCTGGACCTTGGGGGATCCACCTACCTCAGACTTCCAAAGTGCCGGGATTACAGGCGTGAGCCTCCACGCCTGGCACCCACAGGAAATTCATTGCACATGGTTTCCCCAGCCAGGGAGGGCAGGACTCTAGCAGATGCCATGCAGCCCTACGACCAGTGCTCTCCCTCCTTCATTCCCTGCTACCCTCCGTGGATACCCAGCCCTGCTCTCCTGCCCAGAGGCAGATGTGCTTCTGCTTTCCCTGCCCCAAACATTTTGTTTGGGGCTAGATGTCTGAGAGGACCAGCACAGACCCAATGAGGGAAGCCAGGCCAGCCCTCCAGCTCACTGCTGCAAGGCTTCCTACTGAGGCGGGGTGTGAGAACAAGAGGGGATGTGAGGCGTATGCCCCCACTGAGGATCATCAGGGTTGGGGTCCAGGCTCTGCCAATTACCGACCCGGCCATACAGCCTCTTGGAGCCTTAGTTTCCTCATCCATAAATTGGGATAACAGCAAGCCCTCACTCAGAACTGAAAGGA